CGAAGGGGTTTAAAAAAAGCAAAACAATATAGAAAACTTTAATTTTATTTTTCAAATATTTTGCAGCTGAAAGTCTTGAAAATTAGTTTGTAGATTTTCGTGTAAATATACCAATTTTCTTGAGATTTTATATAATTTCTAAGAATCTTTAATTATGTCCAACGCATCAATTATCTAAAGATTTTACTGTATTTATTGCGTAAAGAAATTTATGATAATTCTCAAAAGTTTTTTTCGAAATTGAATGATAAGATTTTTTTTTTTTCAATAGATTGCAAAAAGTCATCATGTCATAGTTCATTGAGTATATTTTCTCTGATTGATATACATTAAAATGTAGATAGCCAGTAGACTGAGATTTCAACAAAGATATTATTACTTATTCTTTATTTAATTGATATGTTAGATATGAAATAATAGGATAAACATATATTTAATCAATATTAATCTCGAATTAAATTTAATAATTCGAAATAAAATATTTATTTATTTTAGTTACTTTGAAATAAATCTGAATGCTAAATTAATTTTACCACTGTGTCCATTAAGTCAACAAGAGTCAAAGCAGGTTTAATATCAAACATAATAGTAAAACTTGCTGTAAATCTTCATATTGATGAACTAGCAATAAGTGATAACGATTGGGCTGATGATGCGCAGTACAAATTGAAGATGAAGGTTGAGGTGATATTGAAATTGAATTATCACCTGATCTTGTATGTTTTTATTCAAATATATAAATTATTTGTTTATTTAATAAATATTCTTAAATTTTTATTTTTATTTTTAAGGCGTGATGGATATTCACCAAAATTATTTTATCCAGCAGTTGGATTAAAATTAGAAAAATTAGTTAGACGTCTTCAAATCGTTTATCGTTTAACAAAAAAAAAAGGAAAAACTTCAAGATCAACAATGAATTGAAATATGTAAAGAAAATATTGTTGGTTTACAAATGTCAATAGGAAAAAAAGATTTAGCAAAAGATGATGAAAAACATTCATGTGAATTAGCTTCTTATTTTACTCATTTATACTTACAACCAATACATAAAATCATGACATTAAAGTTTTCACTTAATCGAGCACTGTGAATTAATTTCTCAGATCTACTAGTAAAGAAATCTTTATAAAATTATAGTTATCTTCAGTGGCGTAGCCAGGGGGAGGGCCATTGGGCAATTGCCCATAGCTCCAAAAGTTATTGCCCATGGATTTATTGAGCTATACAGTGCTTGAAGAGTTATTGCCCATATATATTTTTGAAATCATAACGGTTGCCCTTAGCTGCCCGTAACTCAAAATAGTTCGGCTGATGAATTGCCCATGACTCAAAAATTCCTGGCTACGCCACTGGTTATCTTTAATGTACTGAAGATATATCAAATTTGTTGATCGAAATTTTTTCATGTTTGTTTTGATTTATTTTTGAAAGCAATTGCGTTTATTCTTTGTTAAACGAAACATAATTTTGGTTGAATTATTATAGAAGGCAAACAAAAAACTAAAAATAAAAACTTATTTTTTTTATTGCTTAGACACGAAAATTATTAAATCTCATGTACCAATTTATCGGTATGAAATTTAAAAATGAAATCGAATTTAATTTAAAGTAATCTTTCATTCTTGTTTAGTGAAAATCTATTATCCGGTGCAGCTCATTTACCGGAATTTATAGGACAATTATGTCATGTTACAAAAGCAACTGAAATTGGAAAAGAATCTCTTGATCTTAGGATTTCAATGAGCCAATTTTGTTAGAATAAAAGAAAAAGAACTGTTTGTTTAATTCTATCATCATTATTATTAACTCTTAATGCATATATTTATCATTTTGAAAAAGTAACTTATCATTAGAACGTTTTTCTTTTATTTCAAGATAACGAAATCCGTTTCGAAAACGAAAATTTAAAATCAATACATTTGTTTGAAATAAGTTCACTTCAGTATACATTGAAATTCTATGATAATATACAAGAATAAATAATTTCGATTTATAAAACGATATCAATGCAAGTGAGTATTTTATAATTGTTTAAGAAATTTTATCGACATGATTTCATTTGATATTCGACCTTTGCAATATCTTGTTCAATGGTTTATTTTCCCCCATTGAAAAAATATTTGCTGATTTCGATCGACTTTTCTATGGTTTCTCAACTACAGAATTTCAAAGTAAAAACAAAACAAAAACCTATTCTAACAACGAATTTTCATAAATTAGTATCTTTTGTAGATAATCATCATGGTGATGAAAATCTTGACTCTACTATAGAAAAACATGATCTTAATAAAGCATTTCCAAGAACTTTTATAATAACAACAATGAAACGAGCAACAACATTATCGGGAAGATGTGTTATTGAAAAACAAATTCAATAATCATCAAATCAAAATCAAAATATACAAAACTGAAACAATTGAGTAAAATATGTGGAGATAAACATCATACAACAGTAAAAACAAGATGATAAAATAATTCGAGAATACGGAAAATGCAACAATGGATGAATTAGATCAAATTGATTCATCATCGAATGATAATAATGATCAACCAATTATTGGCAAGAAGAAACATTCGAAGTTTTTTAAAAAACTTTTTCTTAAATAAAAGTTTTTAAAAAAAAATCCGATCTACTAAAAATAAACGAAAGAAAATATTATTCGAGTTTGTTTTTTTTATTTTGAAAGAAAACATGTAATTGTCTTGCTGTTTTTTATTTAATATTTTTTTTTTCTGCTTCGTCAAAACTAAATCTCTTTTCCGATGGAAAATAAACTTGTCGACAATATTATCATTTTCCTCAACAACGATAGAAGAAAAAAAGAAAAAAGGTGTCAATTCAAGTCGGATGAACATCTGAGAGCTTATAAATAACTAGACAAAAACTTTTTTTCTCTAATTTTCATTTACAAGTAACTCACAAAATAGAATATCAATTTAATCTTGTTATTGGTTTTTTAGAAAAAAATCTACAAATATTTCAATATCAATCTTCATCATAAAGTAAATTATTTAGATACGTTGGATACTATATTAGTATCATTCGTGAAGAAAGGAACTTTTCTTTTTGTTAAATAGCACATAAACGGATGCGAAGAAAGCATTGTGAAAATTAAGAAAGTTATTGTTCTCCTTTTCTTCTGATCTAAAGCCACACCCACGCCCTAGAAATTCTTCGCTTCGCATCGCAGTGGCGATTAAGTTTTTGAATACGAATATTATCCATGATTTTATAAGTCTGATTATGAGAGTGATAGATTTTATTAGCACAGACACTAAACATTTACTTGTCAGTCGGTTATCTAAGTCATGGTATGATAGGAAATTTGGAATTTTTGAAAAACAAGACAATTGAAAATAAGATACATGAAAAGCAGTCGTATATATTGTTTATTTCTAGAAATAAAAGTCTCTGTGGTGACTAGTCTGAGGAAAAACATTGTTTTTTATATCTCACAGTCATAATAGTGATAGACTTTGAACAACAGTTCTGATCAGTCTAATTCGATACCGATATGGCAGCAGGCTATACGCTAGAAATAGATGTAAAAATTGCGATACTCGAAACAGACTTCAAAATGGACAACTTTTTCATGGTATAGACTTGTCCGATCCGATAAAAATTTTGTTTACAAAGATTTCTTCTAGTTGTACTTGAAGATGATTTGGCCATCGTTGAAGAACTTGATACATGTAAATGAGTATAACATGATATATCTTCCTGAAGACTTCTCATAAATTGGATCTCAAAAGGACAATCAATACATAAACGATTTTTTTGACACTAATTAGAAACTTATCGACTATTTAAAACTCTATCTTGTGCTATGAAAAATTACGTTTTGAGTCGAACTTTCATGCTAATTCCTTGTTTCGTTGTGATTTCTAATTTATCTATTTATAAATAAATATCAGTAAGAATCATTAGTGTAATTGCCAATCTTTCATGTATACTATTAATTCAATAAGGATTATTACATTTCAATTTGTTTTTCTTAAAAAGAATACCAATAAAAAAAGTTGTTAGCACAAAGACTGAAATTAAAACACGAAATAAAAGGAAACTGTAACATAGTATAAAAAATAAAATAATCAGTATATGTTTCAATTTATGAAACCGTACCTATTGTAAATAAATGGTGATCATAAAATGTATCACTTCCAATATAATGCAATGAGTATGAAGGAAAAGTAAAAGGCAATTATCATACTAAGCTCAGCTCTTAGATGAGAAGTATAGCAACAAGATTCAAGTGTATGAATATTGCTGAAATAAAATTTGAGTTAGCATCTGTTCGAGTCGAAGCCTGGAGCTGATGGAGTCCAGATTTAGTTTTTGGTTCTTCGGGTCCACGAAAAAGTACACCTGCAACTCAATGACTCCAATAGTCCTTCTAGATCATGTTTGACAAAATTTTAAAAAAAAAGTTGTTTTATTATTCTTTTGAAAAACCTTGTTAGCATAGTCCATTTAATGTCGATATATGGAGCTCATATATACCACATTAAATAGAATAGTTGCTAAGATCTATAATGAAAAAAGGAGTCGAAAACCTTCGATTTAAAATTTACACTCATTATATTCTTCGAAAATATATGCAAGTTCTACAAAAAAACACTTTTACATTAATTTAATAGAGTTGATTGCATAATATATTTTTCTATTTATCATGATCATGAGATAAAATCTTAATATCATTTTAGTCATTAAATAGACGTATTAATTGTGTGATTTATTCAACATTTTCAATAGATCCATTAATTTGTAATTCTCCGTCTCTTCATTCTTGTATGAAATATATTCATTTTGATGGAACAAATTCAAATTGTTATAATGTTATTTATCAATTTCATTTGTTTTTTCATCATAATCAACAAGTTCTTGGTTTTTCTAATCTTGAATTTTTGAAAAAATATCGAAAATCAATTATGATTTGAAAATAATTTTAATCTAATTCGAAAAATAGAATAAATCGATGAAATTCTAAAGTTTTTTATTTATAGAAATCTTCTTCAACAGGTGTTTAAATTACCTGTCGGACACAGAGTTACCGAAACTGGAATTAATTCTTTTCTTTGACCGACTACCAGAATCAAGACAAGAAATTAGAGCGAGATCTAGATTTAAATGAGATGTGGTGTTACTCTATGCGATTCTGAATAAATCTCTTTACGAAAACCTCAACGATATTATGGACATATCACATTTATCTGATTCAGGTAACAACAAGATAAGTTTTTATCAATTGTTTTGTATTTTCTCACGAGAAAAAAGTTGAAAAAAATTACGTTTGAATGTCTTCTTATTCTAACCAGCATGTCTTTGCTAGAGTTTACATGCATTTTATAAAACATGTTGGAACAGGTGTTTTTTCATTAAAAATGTAAACAATCAGTTCGAGAATACTTTCTTTACGATCCATTTTGTTACTATATATTGTATTTTTCCTTACATGATCCTAGTCGATTCTTCCTATAAAAAACTGCAAGAAATCCTTGTTGAATTGCTTAACCTTTGAGAAAGTCCTCTAGAAAGCTCGAAGAGTTAGTCTCCGACAGAGACTTATATGAAGAAGTTCGATTATGAAAGTCTATTTGTATCTGTTTAGTTTATTCTTGTAACTATCCTTACGTTCAAATAGTTTTATACATTTACTCCTACATCCTTATAACTAAATTTCGACACTCACCTGTTAATACTCGTATCGCTGTAGCTATAATCTTAGACGCACACTTCTTTAGATAAAATTTATACAAAGTTGAGATCCACACATCATTTTTTAATTGATCAGCATAAAAAAAAGTAAGACTTCTTTGAAAATTTTATCCAATGAATATATTTAATAAAACGACGTTGTCTAGTCTCGATTGAACTGCATTGTAATATGACATTATAATTTCAGCAATTAGAGGTCGAAAAAATAGATAAGGAAAGAAAATAGATGAGGTTCAGTATCTCACACATCTAGCAATAGTAAAATAAGTTTGTTTAGTTTATTATACAAGTTTCATTCAATCACTATAACTTTCATGGATTTGAATAGTATCAAACACTGTATCACTAGATCACGTAAATGTAATATAACAAAAGAAAAACAGAAAAAGTGCTTTGAAACGCTGTTTCGAACGAATTTCGTTTATACAGGTTTTTCTAACAATATGTAAACGCTAACGAGAGGATCTTTCCAGATTCTTCATTCTAATAGCAATGATTGTTTTGCATGTAGATATTACATATTGATATAGTGATAAATTTCAACATATTTGAGTTTCTATTGAGATTTGATGGAGTTAGCGAGTTTGTAAGATGGATTTTGCAAATAGTTCTCCATGGCAACATCTCTCCAAGACAACTCACATTTTCGAATTTCGTCTTTGAACTGCTTCTACATAAGTGAATCACATATTCAACATTGAATATACAGTTTCAGAATTTGAGATTCTATATATTCCAATTAAGACGTTTTTGAACAGCAACTATTTTTAAAAGAGTATTGCATCTCGGAAATATGATTGTGCTGAAAACCTGAGATATCAAGTGAGGTCTCTGAAAATATAAACAAATTATATGTGATAACATATATGTTTTGTCTAAACAGTTGTTTATAAATATATATACAATTTTTTTCAATATTGAGAATAGTAGATTAGATATTCTATTTACCATGCTTTTTTTCGTTGATTTAAATAGTTGCTAAATCAATTTTTTTTCCTGATACATGTCAATTAACACCCATTCGGTTCAATATTTCTGATGATAATTCGCCTATTAATATTCACCAATGTCTAATGCCATTTTCTATTCCTTTATCAAGTGAAATAACTGATAAAATTCAATTCTGTTGTTTGACAATTCGTTATCCATATATTTGTCTTAAATATACATGCTTTCTTGAATATTTCATTGAATATATATCCAACATTGAACAATTCTCAGTTGCTTTTTAACAACTGATGTATTATGAACTACGATCCAAGTCAGATATTCAAATATTAACAAAATCAGATGGAAATTGATTTGCAAAGACGAGATGAATTCATTATGATTAACTTTTCATCTCTATTGAAATCATTTAAAATTTGATGATGCAAAATAAATTGTTCTCTTAGTAAGTTTGATATTTCTTCTGTACTCTCTCTAAACACACGTTCCTCCATTATTTTTTGCATTGGATGTGATTTTGTATTGAAAACAAGTACAAATCTTAAACTATTTTCCTTTTCTATTCTTTTTACAGAACATTAAATTAACAAATTCCACTAGCATTCAGTCTGCAACATTATCGTACTCTTTAAGCAGATCACTTTAGGTGGACTTTTTTGACCTTCTTATATAGAAAAAAAGCTAAGATTCTCATGTGATAGCAAACGATGTACA